CTTGGGAGTTAGTATAGCTTGTAGCATTTCTAAGAGTAAATTCTGCAGAAATCCACCTTACCAAGATAAACTATGCCAGAGAAACCTGTGAGTAAATATTTTGAGGAAATTCTGCCAGCAGATTTCTCCTTGTTCCCACCTCTCCTTTCTTTTGATTCACAAATTACATTAGCATATTAAAGGTTTTACAGAATTTTGCAATGAAAGAGCCTCTGGCTAGAAGATTTGCATTTCACAAAGGCTTTTTGCCACAGGATTGAGTTTTCTATGTAGCACTTCTTAAAACCACAGAACCACTTTGGGAAATGCTGAAATAACCTTTAAGAACTTTGGGGCCAACTAAGTTTTTATGGATTTGACCTTTTAAGATTCCACATATAAATGAGCTGCTGAGTTTGTGTTTATCTTCCTGTGTATGGTAGCCATGGGCAGGGAAGTGGGAGAAATCAAGAGGCATTGGTCAAAGAGTATCAAGTTAAAGATATGTAATGTGTAAAAGTGTAAAGGTTGAATGCATAGTATGATTACTCTAGATAATAATAATATTGAATGAATACTGGGAATTTACAAGCAATAGATGTCAGGTATTCTCACCACACGAAAAGAAACAATAATTATATGAGGATATAGATATGTTAATTAGTACTCATTCACTTTGTACGAACATGTGTATCAAATTATAAAGTTGTACGTCTTAAATATACGCAATTTTTACTTTAATTTTTTAAGAAGAGATTTGAGATCAAGACCTGGTTAATCTTGGATAGACTATATCATCTCTCTGAGCACTTGTTTGATGTAACCTGGATATGTAATGGTCTAATTTTTCATTATACAGAAGTTCAAATGAAATTCAGACTTTTGGAAAAATCTTCATCATTAAAGGTGATCCTAGATGTTGTCCAACATTGAAATGCAGCATTGTGACGGGTACTGTTTAGTATTGTTTCTATATGTAATACAGAAAGAGTTTGTAATTTGCCTGTCTCACAGATAATCAATGGAGCCCATGAGTTAACAAATTGAATCACTGTTTATAAAAGTTTATGTTTTCATTTTTCATGATTATTCATTACCAAATGCTTCGTACTAAGCAGAAGCCCCTTGACAGCAACACAATGACTCTGCAACTGTATCACCACCGATGAGGGCAAAAATGAGCACTTACTTCAGGAAGCAAAATAGTGTCTATGTGGTTCAGAGCAACTCTAGGACTGAGATAGGAGCCTATGGCACCTGATTTCCATACAACTTTTCTTTTGGTAATATACATCCTACGTTGGTCAAGATGCTCAACAATGAAGACTAGAAGTAGAAAAAGGGAAGAAAGAACATATTAGGTAAATTCCATAGATCTGTATGCAGTAAAATTATTTTGAAAGGCTGGGCGATAGCACAGCAGGTAGGACGTTTGCCTTGCACACAGCCAATGTGGTCGACCTGAGTTCGATTCCTCCGCCCCTCCTGGAGAGCCCAGCAAGCTACCAAGAGTATCTCGCCCACACGGCAAAGTCTGGCAAGCTACCCGTGACATATTCAGTATGCCAAACACAGTAACAACAAAGTCTCACAATGGAGAGGTTAATGGGCCTGCTCCAGAAAATCGATGAACAGGAGGACAGTGACGGTGACTAGCTAGAACAGATGTTAAGTGTACCTTAAGTTGACGTGTAAAAATCATTTTGATAAGAAGATTAAAACCGTAAAGGAGAACAGGAAAGGGACTATATAAGCTACTCAGAATAAATGAATATTGAACACATTGGACATATTATACAGGAGTTTCTAATGATCCTATCCATTAGCAGATTTAATATGATAGATCTTCCTGTCAATTTTTGTGAGTTTATTGTGTTAGAATCCAAATCCTTTTATATATTTTATATACTTTCCACAGTTGGCTTTCATTTAAGGTTATTTTAGTAAATGGTACTTTATTGTATAATAAATTCTTAATTGGTTAGATTGTGGCATATATGTAGTCCAAGAAGATATATTAACAGATAAATTTTTTTTTAAGTTTTCTGAGATGGTCATATTTTCTCTGCACAGAGTATGTAGTTATTGGACAGTTACTTTTTAGATTATTTCTCCTGATATCTTTTTATTTTCAAAGAGAATAATTATTTTGAAATTTTAAGTAGCCATACACGTGCTTAATATAGGAAGTAGCTCCTGGTAATTCCATGTAAATTGTCTCTTATTAACTCTTGAATTGGGACTTACTGCCTATGAAGATGAATCCCTGAGGCCTAGGTACAATCTAAATAAATTATGATGATATTTGAGCTGTAGGGTGTTTTCTGTTTTTAGAAATGTTTTTTTTTTCTTCTTTCCCTTCTATCATCACTTTTCAATAGACCTGATTCTTTCCCCTCTCATTTTCTATACACTTAAATTTCTTTTAACTGCATTCCAAACAGTGTTTGGGTATAATGTAATGATCTCAACTTGTTCTCTCCATAAAGTCTTCTCAATCACTAAACATAAAAGATGCCAGCATATATTTAAAAAGCTATGTTAAGTGGAACTGGTGCATATGCAACATCAGGGAAGTAAAGACTGGTCTCTGTTCTCCAGAGACTATCATTCAAAAGGTAGTTGACTTTATTTGCTATGGTTGATAGCCTCCTCTCAGACTGCTTGAATAAATTTGGGTATTAATCTGCTTCCTGTCTATTTAGAGAGAATTACTGTTATGTCTGCCTCAGGAGACTGTTTTCTTTCCAGATTTAACTCAGCACAATATGGTTGGTTCCAACTTCTGAATTAGGCAGCCTATTTACAAAACATGAATTGGCTTCATGAGTATGTGTTCGACTCCTTCTCTGAGCAATAACACTAAGCTGCACTACACACAGGACAAACAGAGGTGTCTAAAATCTGTCTCCTATGGGCCTCAGAATACCGAGCCCCAAGACAAAAGAGGAGAAAGGAAAATATGCACTTTGGGGTGGCTTTGATTGTGCCATGTTTCCAAAATTCTTGGAGAGCAGATGAGGACCTCGGGAGGTAGATACAATTTCTGGTCTATATGCATCTTTGTCTCCATTGCCACAGAAGTAACCTGGCAGGATGAAGGTGGCATAAGCCTCATTTTACAGATAAGGAAATGGAATATTAGAGAATTTAAATTACCCAGTTAAAGGCACTCTGCCAAGTGTGTCAGTATGTCAGTGTTTGGCACATAATTTGCACTTAATGGATACTTTTGAATGCGCTCAATGAATCTCTCAGGAAGGCAATTTCAGCATGCACCACAACCCTCAAAAATGTGTGTGGACTTTCAAGTAGCAATTTTATTTCTAGGAACTATCAGATAGGTATCCAAAGAGTATGTGTATGTGTGTGTGAGTGTGTGTGTGTGTGCGTGTGTGTGTGTGTGTGTATAAATGTAAAATGATAATTATGACCTCATTTACAAAGATATAGCTTTAAAATACACTAGATATCTGAAAGAGAAATGGTTGAATAATTTCACAGTAGTACCATCTAGACATTATAAACAGTGGTTTCAAGGAACTTTCTATGATGAATGTAAGTGTTCACAATAGATATAGAACTAAATATAATAATATGATCTCAAGCATGTTCTATAAGATAATATGCACGTGTATATGGTACATTTTATTTTAGTAATATTTGCACATATATATAACTACATATATAATGGTTTTCTCTAACCAATTGAATAGTTCATTATTTTATTATCTCTTATAGTAACATATATTCTAAATTATCTATAGTAAGTGTTTTAACTTAGAATAATAACAGTGCTTCCTATTTTGTACCCTCATTCTATTAAGTGCATTAGGAAATACTACACTGAAGCTCTCATTCCATGCAGTTAACATAAACTGTGTCATTAATCTCCATACAAGAAAATTCCCACTGAGAGCCAATGTAATGCAATATGTAAGAGACATTCATCTGGAGCTCAATTTCCTGGCTTCAAAACTCAGTTCTGTGATCTACATACTGTGTGATCCATAACAGCTTGATAACCTCTCTCTGCTGAAAATGGAGCTAATGAATTGTCCTTCATATATGATTATGCTGAGCAGACTTTAGTAACTGCCAAGAATGTAAACATTAAACAACTGTTATATTTGCATTGGATTTCACTTTTTTTAACTCTTATTATTTTATCTTAAAGCTTATTTTAAGGCTAAATATTTTTAAATTCTTTTACCATGGCAAAAATATTCCCCTTTTTGCATTTTGTTGTTGATTTAATGGGTTGACAGGATTCCCAACACATTCATTAGATGATAGAGTTAACTTTATTAGGCATGAGCTAACCCCTGGCCATTTGGTATGTTTACATTTTCAAGACCCAGGTAGACTAGGTGACAGCATCAATTATATAACCATCCCTTAGCTAAGCCAGGATGAAATCAGACAGACGATTCATACTTCCTCCCCCTATTAACCAACAATTTATTGTGTCTGTTGTGTGCCTTAGTTTAGGAATATGGTGAGAATAGCACAGTCCCTGCCCTCAAGGAGCTCACATTATATCTCCATCAATTACATGCAGGTAAATAAAAGGCATCATTTAAATGAACACAAGGTCATATGCCTATAGGGGGCAGGGCAATTTGGAGAAGAGTGGGTGGACAGGACAAGTTTCTTAATAATGGGGTGTGAAGTGAATGGAAACACTTAGGACCATATAGGAAGGTTAAAAAGTGAATCAGAGTTCCAAAAAGAGGTAACATCAAATACGAAGATGTGGAGGCAAGAGAAACATAGCCCACTTTGATGATGTCAAAGTGATTAACTTCTACAACCAACATTATATCTACTAAGAAGGTATAGAATAAAACCCATTGAAAACCAGATGCCACTGCTAGCCATGTCCCTACCATAGTATTGTAATCATATGCCACTTAATCTTTATTAACCTCAGTCTTCTAGTAACTTCTGTGACAACTGGAAGGGGTCTGTTGCTTCGGGGAATCAAGCTCATTGCTCACGCTCTGGGTGTCTTCCTACAGGAAACAGCATCCTGCACTCGGCAGCTGACAGCGTGACCAGCGCCGTCCAGAAAGCCAGCCAGGCCTTGAATGAGCGTGGTGAGCGATTAGGCCGAGCTGAGGAGAAGACGGAAGACATGAAGAACAGCGCACAGCAGTTTGCAGAAACTGCGCATAAGGTAGGCTGAGGGCACAGCCCTGGGCTGTGAGAGTGTTTGAGGGCAGAGGAACACTGTTTTGCTATGTTTTCCCTAAGAGCCAGTACTCATTTAAGGTGTTTTCTTTTTTCCTCTACCCACTCCTTTATTCAATTCTCATCTGCTACCTAGTCATGAGAGTTTTAGTTGTAGTATCTCTTGGGCCATCTCCTTTTCTGATGCCTGAATCAATGTCACTTGCTTGGCATTTTGGGAAATGAGGACTCTGGTTTAGGGCACAGGATGAGGAGGCAGGGTATGTCAGGTTTCAGGGCACCCCTTCTCACTTAGCCACATGCTTGGGAGACATACTTGAAGTCTGCTGATTTCTCCCCCACTGTCCCTGACTGGAGCCTGGCATCCTGTGTTCTTGCCCTTCCCCAAACGCTGCTCTGGTCCTCAGGTCCAGCACCCCTTTGTAGGCCGTGTGTCTCTCGGGCTGACCGAACCAGTACATAGCTGCTTACAGGATTACCTCCTGCTTCCAAACCCACAGGATGGCAAGTCTAATGCAGCCTGGCTTAAGCCACACACATGGGCACACGCACACTCACACACATGCACTAAGAAGGCCCCTTCACCCCCACAGAAGTGGGGAAGGGGTATGTCATTGGCATCCAGCTCACTGGGGTGGGAGCTAACCAAAGGCAAGAGAGCCCTCTGGGTCAGAAAATAATGAGACTTTATTCCAGTTCTTGTGCTTCCCATCAAAGGGCAATTCTTTTTCTGGATGGTGATTCAAATTTAGGTTTACAGAAATGACATCTGCTGATAACTGTTGGCACCTCAGACACAGGTTCTGGTTTTTCAGATATGCTTTTCAGGTGACCTTTGGGGAAAAAAATTAATTTTCTTCAACAGAAAAACTTGCTCCTGCTAAGGAAACAAGAAGTGACAACCTGAAATATAAGGAGGAATATCTTCCCATTGAGCCAAGCCTAATCCCGATCCTATTTGAGGGAATGCTTCCTACCTCCCCTTCCTGCATTCCCTCTGCACGAATCTGTCTCACACAAGTTCATTGCACTGCTACTGTGGGGGTTCCCTTTGGGGGTTCCCTGGAGAAGCATTGACCAGGTTTGTATGAAGAAGGCAGCCCTATTGGAAGTCAGAGCCTTGCCTGCCATGATTGTGAGAGGGCATTCAGATCTAAGGCTCCCTCCTTCCATCCTCCTCTGCCAGCCTTCGTGATCCAGAGATCATGGTGAGAGGGAAGTGCTAAAATTCCAGGCCCAGCTTCATTCATTCCAACAGCAGCAAAGCTTGCTAGGTGAAATGAGAAGGGGAAGGCCAGGAATCTGGAGAAACATTTACAGGTTGATTTGGAAAGAGAAGACCAAAGGAAGTGATCTTTCCATTGTCTTCAGGTCTGGGAAGTGTGATTGTGCAAGCAGCTCTCCCTCATGCCTTCATCTCACAGAATAGAGCAGTCAAATGTGCACTGATAAAATTCTGTGAAAACAAGAGTGGAGCCTAATGTCTGAAACATGAGCCAGGTTACCAAGGAAGTCTGTAAAATCATTCTTCCTAAGGTGAAGTAGACAATACCTGGAGGTCATCAGTGTAGGTGTCCTCCTCAGAGGATGTCATGCAAACACTGGGTTGGATATAATCTAACCAGATGGCCGGACTTCTTGGCTCTGGTTGCCTTGTTTCCCTGATATTGTGGACACATTCGCTAGGTCCTGGGAAGACAATATGGTAGAATAGTTAACACTTTTTTTTATTTACCCTCTGAATGACCTCGGGTAAGTGTTTAATTCCTTTGAGCTTCAGTTTCTTTATCACTATTAATAATGGGATGTGAGATGCTTTGTAGGATGTGAGACAATTGAATTGCTTCAGATCTAAAAATCCGTTAACCCAGTACCTGGCATTTATGCATAAATTCATATAGTTATTTCATTAAAACCATTTCTGCTGAACCTGCCCTACTGCTCATCAGCCCACTAACGGCAAAGGGTTGACCACCGCCAGGGTCAGGCGAGAGGGCTGGGGATATCCTGCATGGAGGGATGGGGCTGTTGGTATCCATTAGAGTATTTTAGAGAGTATAAGAGAACACTGTGACTGCCAGTCTTGTGCTTTTCTAAAATTGGGATGTATGCTTATGAATCACCGGTACTGGCAGGAGTCCAGCGGAGGAGATGAGCTTCTTTAGGTAAGGGGTTGTAGCTCTTTTCTCAAGGGTCGGGACTCCTGATTCCAACCTCAGATGCAGGTTGACCGTGAAAATGTCACTGTATGCACCAGGTCTCCCGGTGAACAGAGTGCCATGCTGTTCAGTGCTCAGGTCTTCCAAGCACCCCACCCCACCCAGCCCAACAGCCTGTGTTGACTCATAAGGAGTGGGCTGTGTTTGCACATTAGCTGTGGTGTACATAAGAGAGCAGAGAAGGGCAATTCTTGGTGACAGTCCCTGCACAGTTGCAGGTTGGATCAGGGCACGTGAGCTCACTAGAGAGCATGTCTCACCTTTCCAGATGGGTAGTGGAAGGGGCTTTTTTGCCTTCCTCACTTTTCCCTGGACCCCTGCCATTGACCTGGGCTTGTTAGTGAATGGATCACCTTCCCGTGACCCCGCCAAGATCCACGGGTGCTTTTCTGCCCAGAGCAGATGGAAAACAGTCTTGTTCCCCCCTCTCCCCAGTTCTCCTCCCCTGGAGGAGGCGTGGTTCCTTCCTGAGCTGTGGGCTTGGCAAGGTCTCAGCCCTTAGGAAAATGTAGCTCAGCCTCAGCACAGACTGCTCACTTCCCTTCCCCCTGCACTGCAAAAGCACAGCAAAGCAAAGTGTGCAGCGGTGAGGCAGCAGACAACTGTGCCTACCCACACCTAGGCATGCTCTGATGACATTTTTGCAGAAAGAAATGGGAATCTGCCCCATTTCACATGAACCTACATATCTGGCGATGGAAGAGGTCTGTGCCCTTTCTGTCTACAGGGAATGGCTGTTTCTGTTTCCACAACAGTCACCTGCTCTCTCTGAATCTCTGAGCCAAAAGTCCTCAAGTGTCCGGGCCTCTTAAAGAATTGCCCTAAGGGCTAGATAGATAGTACATGGATTAAGACATTTACCTTGCACACAGCTGATCCAAATTCAGTCCCTGGCATCAGGTACAGGAGTGATCCCTGAACACAGAGCTAGGAGTAATAAAGAATCTTACTAGACTAAGTAATGATATTGTCATCATCATCATCATCATCATTATTACTGTTATTATTTAAATGGAATAGGTTACACAGAATCAAAAGTTTTATATGAGATGCTAAGAAGACAAAAATCAAAAGGGAAAATTTAAACCCCTCTTTGATAAGAATGCAGACTTCTGAATTGATCCAGAAGCATTTGAGTACAAAATGATAAGAAATGCTGGAGCGATAGCACAGCGGGTAGGCCTTACAAGCGGCCAACATGGCCGACCCGAGTTCGATTCCTCCGCCCCTCTCGGAGAGCCCGGCAAGCTACCGAGAGTATTCGATATGCCGGACACAGTAACAACAAAGTCTCCAATGGAGACGTTACTGGGCCCGCTCGAGCAAATCGACGATCAACGGGAGGGCCTTTACCTTTACCTTTACCTATAGAAATGAATATTTGAAGTACAGAATAGGTGTGGCCTTTGAGTCTGTTGTATGGCAAATTTATACAGGGTAGGAATATCCCCCACCCCCCACTTTAATTCCATGTTCTTTATACTCTGCCATCTTTATTTTCACATTCTGCGTCTTCTAGCACTTAGGGTAATTTTTTTAAAATAGTAAATATAAAAATGATGTCAGCCTCTCAAAAAAAATACCACAAGTAGCAGATGCCCAATCTAGTTGACTGCTGCAAAGCAGAGCTGGCCTGAGTCCCACAAGATCCTCGATTGCATTCCAGAGTGTTGTGGGGAGCAGGATCTTATTTGAGTAACAGGGTTGGCATACAGCAATTCATTGAAGGTTAAGAGTTCAGAGACTCAGAGGACAGCAACACCAATCGAATGTTTATGGTCGGTATTCATCGTGCACAACATTAAAAGGCTGTGCTGGTATGATGGTTCATATTGCTAAATAAGGCTGAAACTAGAGAATGGGCAAGAAGTAGACACCATGCAATAGAGGACTACGGAGTAGCCAGGTAGAGGAAAAGACTTAAGAGAGACCCTGGATTTGCATTTCTACCCACCCTGTTTCCTAGGTTATAAATCAGTTCAGATCTGTAGATAGTAACCATCCCCCCTCTTTCTAGACAAGGGAAACCAGTCAAGAATTTACCATGGATCCCTGGGTTTATTCAGGGTTTCACTTACACTAACAACTAACCAGACCTTCATGAAGCACTGAAGAATATGGAGATCTATGGAGGTCTTCTCTCTAGCTGGTTTCATCAGGTAGAAGCACGCAGAGTGATTTCATATGAGGTTTCTCATGCAGAGATTAACCCAGCAACATGAAGGCTAAATCCATTGATTCCCTCTCTATCATGTGTCAAACCGGTCTAGTGCACTGGTTAGTAGACTAATATGGTGCTGCTTTCATAGGTGGACCAGGGTGGTGGCTATGGGTCAGTACTCCTTGGAAAAATGGATCACTGACTTCCTCTAGGATAATGCAAGAACCAAAATATGGAATCGGGGAATGCCTCTTGATAATTCTTCAAGGGTCAAGAACCTGGTTATGATGCAGATGCAGGGCATTTACAAAGTGATTGCCTTTGAGAATCACCTCTCTTTTGTCAAAGACATTCTGAATCTCAGAATTCTGCCCCTTTTCCCAAGTCACTCCCAGCCTTGACCTCAGGGATTGATCCCTACTATCATATGAGGAATTGCAATTCAGCATCAGCTCTGCCTGCTGGCTCACAGTCCCCACAAAGATTCCTTGGAAAGGATATAGTCAAAGAAAAGACAAATCAGATTTAATTTAATGTACCACAGTTGTGTGCATTTTCTTAATTATATCATCAAGAACTCAAGCTGGGTTTGGGAAGCTATTGATTGGTATTTGGTGTTCTCATTTATAAATAGCTGTAACATTTCAATAAAGCACATTTCTGGAGGAGGACTATATTAAGATCTGGATTTTTTGTTTTTCTTTCTTCTTCTTTTTTTTTTTTCCTACCTCCTAACACACGGCAGAGCCTGGCAAGCTACCCGTGATGTATTCGATATGCCAAACACAGTAACAACAAAGTCTCATGATGGAGACGTTACTGGGCCCGCTCGAGAAAATCGATGTACAACGGGAGAACAGTGAACAGAACAGTGACCTCCTAACACAGTTTAATTGTCATGTGCTCCGGATTTGGCTGAACATCCAGATGGGGTTTTTCATATACTGTTGTCAATTATTTATCTGCAGTTGGTGCTTTGTAATAATGTATGATGACTTGCCTTTGTGCAAGTTTGGTGTAACTAGCTACTAGTCAACCAGGGTACTAGTGCCCAGCTCCCACCAGCTCCTAAGCAAGTCACACATTGTTCCTAGTCATTGACATCTCCATGTGCTCCTCCAGTGCGATGAGGGCACCACACATAACGTTTCACCACCTGAGCTCCTACACCAGCACAATTACTGTTAAGAATCAAATGAAATGGTCAGTGGACTATTTTCAAGAATGTTGCACATTTAGTCCACGCTTCTGTGAATACTTACGCACTCTATGATAGCAAATAGACTCCTGCTTCTTGTCGTGGCTATGGGAAGAGACTGGCACAGGAAATCCCTCCCACTATTATTAACATCTTCCTTTTCTCTTCCCTTTCTCTTTCCTTAGCTTGCCATGAAGCACAAATGTTGAGAAACAGCCCATTGTGGTGAACCTCTTACGAGAAGTGGAAGAGTTTGTGTCGCAGTTTTTACAAGAATCCCAGACCTCCGCTTGCTTTTCTTCTAGTATATGGACATTTAGGTTTTTTTGGTTTTCCTTTTTAGACGTTAATATGAAAAAGATTATTATGTTTATACATTTCCCTGATGATCTTGCTAAGAAATGCTGCAAAAAGCATCAGCTTCGTTTTGGGTTCCCCACCTCCCACACTCACCGCACTGTGTGTATGTGTTTATATAAGTTTTTCACTGTTTTTTTTTTTAAAGTTGTTTCTTTATTTGAATAGAAACTTGGACCAAATGATATACTGAGTTGAGTCTAAACTGGCAACCTAAGCTTTTGTCCTGATATTAAGCAGGAAGACAGTTTAATATGGTGACATCAGATATTTTTGCTCCTGTATGGAAATAAAGTAAAATAGTGATTGGTTTTTGTGTCCTCCCTAGTCTTAATTTGAAAAATAAGATTCTAGATATTATGAAGAACAATAAGATTATCAGGGGAAACAGCAGTCTTAGACTTTGCTCCTTCTCTAGTAATCTTTTGCATGAGCCATCATCAGCATTTAGAAAAACAAATCAAAGTCACAGATAGAAATCAACTTTCTGAACTAGTTTAAATATTTCTGCTCCTTGTTTAAAGACTGATTATTAGGAATTATCATATGAAGGATAAAAATTTGAGACTAAAGCCCTGAGGAAAAACTGTGCATTCACGGATGTGTCTCTTGTGATTGTCCCAAATTACAGGAGCTGGCATTGAAAAGAACTTGGATTTTTATCAAGAATTGATTTGTGCAGATAAGTGTCTGTGGAAATGACAATGTGAACATAGACTACACTTTAAGTCATTTTTCTTTTCTTTTTACCGAGTTCTGTCTATTTTAAGGACACCCTCACCATTATCTTGGGCAGAGGTCTAACCATCTGGATTTTGTAGAGTTCAATGTTGTGAATGCTGCCTATTTAATATATTTTCAGTGTAGGTTTCTTGACAAATTTTGTTTCAGAGTGATTGCAACTTGCTTGAGAGAAATGAAGGGGGTCCAGAAATCTTCAGGCTGCCACGAGAGTAGAGCAAGTTGGCCCCCCACACCTCCCAATTTTCTATTATTCATGATAGTGCAAGGTACATAGTATCTTGGAGTTTTGTTTCTTTGACGATTGGAAGCTAACTGTGAAAGTTGTATTCTGTCTTCATCAAACAAGTAAGCAATCTGCTTAGCCCAGCCTCATTCTCAGCTCTCATAGCAGTGCATTGATTTTTAGGCTCCTTGAATCTGCAAACCCCTTTCCTTCCTAGCCCTTGAGCCTGCTCAACTTATGGGCTCAGTAGGCTCAATTTGTAGCCTCATACATCGCAATATTATTGATAAGATTATTTATGCTGATTTAAATAATTTAAGTTCTCCTGATGAAGCATCCTGGAGAGAGAGAGAAAGTTGGAATATCAATAGGGAAAGTAATAGATGTCAAAAGTGAGATTGACTTTGCTGGAGACATATTTTTGAATCTTCTTGATTAAATGTTTCAGTTCAAGCAAATTGTCTGTAAATATATACATAAGTATGGTAAGCCATATGCGTTTACAATAAGATTCTGTACTTTTATTTTTGGTGTTTTAAAAATTAAAATATGCGAAGAGTTTGCTATCCATTAGAAGCACTTAGGATATCTAAGAAAAGCCAAAAATAATATTCCAAATGGTTTAGCTCATAGATTTTTAGTTCAGAACATACAACACCCACACACTTCCCAAATTGGGCTAAGTCTTCAGAGATAAATAATTGAAAGGGTAAATCTAAACCCCCTTGACAATTGGCCAAACTCAAAAAGTAAACGTTAATACCAACTCTCAAACAACAGTATTTGCAAAGATGCTTCTTAAGTAGCAGACAATGAGGTCAGAAGCAGACTGTGAAACCTGAGATTCTTCCACCCTAGTAGAGCTGTGATTGCTGCTTTCAGAAACAGAAGTATTTTCCATCTTGCCCTCTGTCTTACAGACCCCTTTTAAACTTATTTGCACCATTTACCCATTTACCCCTTTTAAACTTCCTACATACCTTATTGGAACCTCTGTTCACTTTCTGTATTGATTTGCTTCCAGTCATGCCCCCGACGTCCCTGTGTGGTGTCCTGTCTACCACATTGCCCCCACAGAGGCCAGAGCAGCAGCCCTTGTCCCCTCTCTGCTTCCTGGCCTCTTGCTGAGGCCTTGTGATGACACCCTGAAGTTCTTTCTATTCTTTTGTAGAAGAGGCTGCAGTACTAAATATTATTGCAACCTAATCTAGAGAAAATTGCTAGAATGATTCACGTACTTGGGACCAATTTGGTTGAACTTGCTAGAAAAGCCTTCCTTTTCTGCTTGTTTCATTTCTGCTCCTCATTATGAGTTTTTTTGGACACTATTTCTGTGAAGAGTTTCTTGTTTCGACAATGTGTAAAGAGAAGAAACTTCCCAGTGTTATCACTTCTTGGAATGTAGCTTAGTATTCTTTACTAGTATTAGATATCTGTGTACAGAGAGTATACAATTAATTATTCAGGTTAATGTTTCATATTAAAGAATGTATTTGTAAAATGTAACAAGATCAGTAGTTAACTTTTTTTAAGCTCTGAGGAAAAAAAAAGTTTCTGTGTTAGACTTAAAATTACAGTGAAATCTGTCTTAATACTACTTTTGTGGCTAGCAAAGGTTGTGAATTTATGTAAAAGTATTTACAGATTGCCCTGTCTACAGGGTTCTAAAAATAGGTTTTGCTTTTAAATTTTAGAATTACAATACTGCTGATATCTATTGTACAGTTATTAATTCTTCCCTAAGATGTCAAGTACAATTTTTGTTTCTCTCAAAGATGAGTAACACCTGCTCTATGATTCACTATTATAGCTAACTCTAATTTGTCATTAAATATTTGAATTCTGTGTTGAAAGTTTGTTTTTGTCAGTTATTTGTGGAGTCTGTACAACACTACCAAATAGTTGGAAGTCACAAACGAAAGCTCCAGTGTGCCTACAGGAGCTGGGACCAACATTATGATAAAGTTTACTTTTCTACTTTCCAAAGGAAGAAAAGACCCTCAAACCATTCACCTTGATCTGAAAAATGATCATCTATCCAAGGAGAGTTTTCTTTCTTGCCATAGGTGAAGTGACTCAGAGCAGTAGTTGTGTTTTAACTGATGTGCTAACTGAAGTTTTTATCCCAGCATGCTCCCTAATCCGGTCTATTCTTTTTATGCCTGTTACACTGGAAAGAAGATTTGATTAAGTTATGTCAGTTTATTTCTCTAGAAAGACAATGCAGCTTATTGTATTGCCACGTTCATTTTTCCAGGGCAATGCTTGAGGTGACTCCTGTAGCATCCTTACCCTCTCTAGGTTAAAGCAGGCAGGACAGACTTGAAAAATATTTCTTAAGAGAACTGTAAGTAGAGGAAAGAGAGTGCCATCTCTGCTTCTCAGAGAAGAAGGTCCAACCTTAATTATGTTTTTAAAGTTGCTAGAACTTGTAAACTAATTCTAAACAATGGATTTGTGAAGATAACCCTGTTTCCCAACCTGATTTTTATTTATTTTTATTTTATTTATTTATTTGCTTTTTGGGTCACACCTGGCGATATTCAGGGGATACTCCTGGCTCTGTACTTAGGTATTACTCCTGGCGGTACTTGGGGGACCATATGGGATGCCAGAGATCGAACCCAGGTCGGCCGCGTGCAAGGCAAATGCCCTACCCGCTGTGCTATTGCTCCGGCTCCAAACCTGATTTTTATTTGTTAGCAATTATACCACAGTCACCTCTCAAATATTGTGGGAAGAGTAATATGAAGTTTGGGGTGGGGAGGTTAGGTTGTTTTTTCATTGACAACATGGTTAGGAAAAACAGATAACTAGATTGGGCAGAGAAAGAAGAGGAGGAGGGAGAGAAATCCCAGCCCTCAATTTCAGAAATGCAAATATTTGAGAGTTGTTCCCTGCTGCTATCCATTCTGTGCGCCTCTTGCACAGCCATGAGGGTGGCTGGAGAGCAGCTGGTCATGCGTGTGCACATTTACACATGACACGCGTTCATATATCCCCAACATTTTCACATGCTCACTCACGTTAAAACAGGCAGGCACAGAGCTGGCATCAAAGAGAAACTGAGCAGTGTCCCTGGAGTCCCCAAAGTCTCTTTGTGACACTTTCTGACTATTTGCAGGGGTCATTAAAAGTGGAAAATGCCCCAGGTGGGCCATTATCAGAGCAGGAGAAATGTAAAGACTTAAAACACAGGAAAAGAACTCATTCACCCACAAGGCAAGTTTAATTTTACTTCTCCAAACTGTGAATGTACTAGCAGCCCTCTTTTAACTAGATGATGCTAAAGACAGATTTTCTTTTTTGTTTTTGTTTGTTTTTTTAAACATTTTTCAATCCTGAGATTATCTATGAAATGATTTTTGTAGAACCAGAAAGCAGCCTGATGGGCAAAATTAATCTTCAATTCTACCTCCATTCCAGTCTCCTGAGCAGTCACCTTTCTCCCCACCGGGTCCTTTGGCTCACATTCTGACCCTTCTTAAATCCTGCTTTAGCTAAGCCCTCCTAAATTGTTACTAAGACATAAAGTGCTTGTTTTTCCGTGGCTTAGAGCAATTCTCTACCCTGGCTGCGATTCATGCTCATTCTGGGGACTTGGAGAAATGCACGCACGCATCCTACATTCAAGTTTGACTTCTTGGTGTTCCTTTGTCTTTCGCCAAGGGGGGTGTGGGGGGACAATGAACAGCCACTTGTGTGTGTGGGGGGGGGGGGGGCGCGTGGGCCCGCAGGGCAGTGGAAGGTAGTAGTGGGAGAGGGGTCAGACACCTGACTTTCCAGGATGCTGAATTTTTTTTCATCAACAAATTTAAACTGTCAAGGAAATTAAATATGATGTGCATTTAAGCTCAATTACTGTTCGAGTGTAACCTTCTGCCTTGACCCCCATTATCTTTTCTCCCTGGAGCCTCACTTCAGGTCTCTGGATTTCTTGAGCTGTGTTTTCTCTTCCCACCCACCTTCCACCCCTCAGGTTTTCTCCTACATTTAATTCTTTCTGCTGCTAAGTCGTGATCCTGGGCATCACAT